GTGTTGATGTTGAGGCGTTCTGGGCCAGGACTTGCATCGGTTCGTCCAACACTCCTCGCACGCAACTGCTTAATTAGGGCTCATAAAACCCATCGTCCAATGCTCATTCTGATGAACTTACTGTCTACTTACTGTCTTTGCACAAAAAACTCGAATGCTGGAACAACGCAGCTACATTGCTGGCCAGGAAGATGATGCTGTTGGCGTCGGTCCCGTCTTTGGGTGCCGGCTCTGTTGAGCATGTAACACATCTAGCATGTACAGGAGTTTAGTTTCCGATGCACCCTAAACGGTTGATTATGTTGTTCAGTGTGTGTTTGCAAGGCTGATGAGCGACAGATAAAGCCTGTTGACGAAGCATGTCAACAAGTTGCACTGGACCGCTTCCATCCACGTCGAACTTCATAAATCCCAAACGCCAAACCCTACACCCAAATCTCCGAATGATCAGCCTTGGGAAATGACGTGCCGGTCAGTGGGCTGTTGCAGAGCCGGAAAACCACGCTGACTTAAGCAGAGCTGCATTGGTACTGGAGGCAATCTGCGAAGCAGCAGGGTGGGGCTTTCCCAATCCAAGACCTGCTGCAGGTCGCAGAAGTAGGCTACCTTATTCAAAGATCCTTATCACTCCATGTAGGGCCCATATCACGGCCTCATATGTGCCGTTTTGAAAAGTATACTTCGATTTGGCTCCTATAGTTGTGGGCAGAGTTAAGGTGGGATCGAACGATCGAGCCTGGTCGACCCAGGTGTGGCGGCTGCAGAAAGACAGTGGCTTTGGTTCAGCAAGACTTCTGTGGGCATGGCTACGATGAACTCTGCAGGCATCCGAACATCATGTGAGCTGGATGGTCATGAGCAGGAAAGAAGCCCTTCAACAGCTGAGCACAGCCAAACAACAAAGATGGACAAAGAGGTAAAGGGAAGGAGAGGTAGAAATCATACTTCGTCAGCTCGATACACATACAGACCCTGAACCATGGACGGTGGTAAGCAGGTAGCTGGCTAACTAGCTGGCTGGCTGGCTAGACAGCAGGACGGAAAGCAGAGAGGGACAGCGAGACAGAGAGGGAAAGAGAGAGCATACGGCATGCAGAGTACATCAAAGGACCAAACCCTCTGTCGACACACATTGCTTCTGTTGCGAGCCGGTTGGCAGGCATCTTTGCGGTTCATGTACTGGGTTGTCGAAGGCCCTGCTGGTTTATCGCGGCGAGTGGAACACCAAAGCAAGTGGATCTCCAGGAGCTGTTTCTCTCTTTTGTGCCGTTGATTGCCCGACAGGTCGATGTGGATCGACGTAGGCTTCATGGAAACATGCAACTACGGTGCTAAGTTTCCCTAGATGTGCCGGCAGACTGCTACTTGTGCGCAAAGTTGTTCAGCTTGACGTGGTTTGATGTGTTTGCCCCTTTTTTCGATTTCCCGTAAAGCTCCCAACGAACTGTCCGTGCCAATTCAATTCTATTTTTTTCCGTCCAGATGGCTGGCTCAAGACTCGCTTTAAGCTCAGCCCGCACATGTTACTTGTCTCACTACGTTCGCGCATCTGGTCAAAGGCCCCCAGGGCCCCAGTATTCAGCATGGAGTGCTTTGAACATGGCTGTTGCGCGGACCAATGTAAAAGCTTTAGTATGCATTACAGAAAGTCCTCCGCTTGTGGAATTTCTTTTCTCCGACAGTTTCGCCTTCCCGGCTTGGTTCCTGCAAGCTTCTTGTGCCCAAGCATACGCTAGTCGAACTCTTACTGGCAAGCATTCATCTCGTGGAAAGCATGAGGTCAGTTCTTGCAGGGATCATATGCCAATTCTTGAAACATGGCATCTACAGCCATGCAGCTTGGCAGAAATCGTGATATTCGGAAGTACCAGCAAGACTTGAAAGTCTAGTCATACTATTTGCCATAAGAACATCATACGTACAACAATAACCATGGCAATCAGCGTCAAAATCTTGCAGCTGGCCTCGGCGGGAAGAAGTAGCAATTGCGGCAGCTTTTGGAAAAGCTTACCTCCGAGGCTGCGATCGGTTACTGGGCTGTCCAGAAGTGAGAGGTCAAATCTTTTGGAGTAGGACTTGGGTCAGCACGTGCTGGGAAGCTGCAGCCCATTGCGGTTGCTGGATTCCTTCGTGAAGTTTCTGTAGCGGCAGTCCCGATTCTTTTGCTGCTGATTGAAGATCACGAACAACCGCAAAAGGCCGTTGATGATCCAGACCAGGAGCTGGAGCGAGCTGAACGGAATGTGAAAAAGGGTGCCTGTAGAAGGGATAGATATGATGACGATGATGAGCATGAATATAGGACAATCATGACAATGCTGATGATGATGATGATGTTGATGATGATGATGATGATGTTGCTGATGATGATGATGAAGAAGATGATGATGATGATGATGGTGAGACGAAGATGATGATGATTGTAATGAATATGATGATGCTGATGCTGATGCTGATGCTAATGCTGATGCTGATGCTGCTGATGATGATGGTGATGAGGAGGAGGAGGAGGAGGAGGATTATGATGATGACAGCGATGATGGCGATGGTTATCAGGGTAATGATCCTGGTGATGATGGGGTTCTGGCGGTCTTGTTGATGATGATGGTGATGCTGTGATGCTGATGGAGATGACGACGACACTGGTGCTGGTGATGGTAGGGATGGTAGAAGTGCAACTGAAGTCGTTCTGCTTGCTGCTGTGTGTTAGTGATCTCGTCGTCGTTCTGCTTGCTTGAGCACGTGCTTCGATTCTTGGAGCTGTGGTGTGGTTCAACGTCGGGACGGAGGCGTGCTTGTGAAATAAGCCACGCAACCCGGCACTTTCTCAACCCCGTGGACGCTGGAGCGACAAGCACGAGTAATACTCATCGCAACCAAAGCCGAAAATCCTCACAACATCAAGGCAACTCACGCTGGCAAGGCGAATGCTGCGAAAACTGTGAACACGGTGACGCGCTCTGCAAGGCAACCGTCCGTGAGTAATCAACGAAGCTGCAGCGATTATAGAAAGTTCGCACATCACTCAAGTGCGCCTTCTTCTGGGGCGGATCAAAGACCATGTAGGGGAGCTTTGAATCCTGCCACTGACAGAAATGCAAATGAAAGCTCGGAGCAATGTGGGAAGATGTAGACAATGTAGACACATTATCTGGCTGAACTACACACATCTCCGAGCAAGGATCATGAAGGGTTTTGCTGATGGGGGACCACGACTCTTCATTGTCCGACTCAAGCATCCGTTCAACTCGTGAAACATGAAAGTGCCACGACGACCATCTTGATGCCCTCCGATGACGATGTGCGGTGCTGGCGACGATATTTGAAGCTCGTACAAGTAATGTGCGCTTGTACGAAAACCGAACAGAAGGATCGCTTCGCCGGGCCTTCACCAGCTCATGCCACTTGACCCAATTCACCTTGGCCACGTCTTAAGAGTTTAGGCGACAAAGACATCGGCATAGGCATAGGCATTCTGCTGCAATAACTAACGCGGGCTGCTTTCGGTGGATCGTACTATAGAAACACAGATCGCACAAAGAGGGTGTCAAGCGAAGTCGGTACTTCCGGGAGAATACGGAGTTGTGACCACAAGCACTACTGTCAGGCCTCAAAAGAGACGCTTACTCAACTCCCCAAGACGACTCCATTGCCTTTACCTCCAAAGAGTCTAAACCCAGGACGCTGAGTGCAGAGAGGGGCGGTATGGTCGGGGTTGAGCGCAGGCTTGTCTTCACCTCAGTGTCTCCAGACCGGGAGGCTTGGGTTTCGGCGGTTGTTGAAGGTGCCCTGGCACAAGGCTTGACTTTGCCACAAATCGCACCTGGGTTAATTAAGCTTTGAGAACCACGGAGGCTTCACCTCAAGGTGCCGCGTGGCATCCTCTTGTCAAAAATCACGAACACACAATCCTGCAAGCCCTTGTGGCAAAACCAGTCAGAGCTAACAAAGGAAGGCGAAAGATCCGAATATGCACAAGTTCCAGTCTCAAACTTAGCAGGAAGGCCGCAGAAGGCTATGGGATCAGCCTTCCTAGCAAGGGAGCCATGAAAGTCTTTCGATGGGGATGTCCTCCCCTGACTCGTGAGCCAAGTTGGCTACCTGATGCCCTGATGCACAAAAGCTCCCCACACCAGAAGTATCCATGTAAGTCCAAAATGCATACACTAGGACGTAGGAGCAAAACCCATCCGAACCATCCTATCAGAAGATCAGCTTGTTCTTAGGCCCAGCGTCTTGCACCAGGGTTGTAGAGGCCCAATATGCGACCAGCGATTTCGGCTACGGAGCACGATGGGCATGACATGTCTCCCTGGGTTGAGGGCTAAGGTGCAGGGCCGGGCCGGAAATCTGGCAGTTTTAGGCGGAGCCAGCGTTCAGTTCCTGGGGCGTTTCAGGATCAGTCGACCATGTTCACTTTCGAGCTGGTGACTTTCGGTCGAAGGCCAGGACAAGCTCACCAACGTTGATGATGGTCGATTTGCTACTAGTAGCGAACAGATAAGCCCTTTATGTCGGTCTACACTCTATACCCCAAGCCCGAAGGTCCCAAATACTCGAAGACGCACGAGCCGTAACGCCCTGACCAGAACCCCTCCCAATGCAACTTTCGAGCGGCTAGGAAGACTGCTTGCCCAGGGAAAAGCTCTGGAAGCCAAACAGCTGCAGCATCGTGGCGCATGTCACATGTTTTAGGGCCTTTCAGGGTTCAAGCGGTAGGAGTTGCCGCGCACCCGTGACAGGAGGTAGCGCCTTCAATCAATGCCTTGACGGCTTCGGGATTGAAGGCTTCTTGACTTAGGATCGGCGGAAGACTCTGTGTGTTGCGTCTGTTTGTTTGCTACGGAGCTTTTGGGACGGGTAAAGTGGGTCTTATGTCCGTAAACATATTAAATGTTCCATCTTCTTCGGTCACAGTCAATCCATGGTCAACTGTGACGTCAGCTGCAACGTGTAGTCGTCTCCAATGGCGCAACACAAGATCTCTGCCAACAGGTAGCATTGTCGGAATAGATGTGGACAGCCACGTCTGCACCTGATGCCGGATAGCATCAAACATATTAGTGCCCAGATACAATGCCTTCAGGTTATAGCCCCGAGCAGCACACTTGCCCGAGCACGAGCCGCTCACAGAACACAGACACACACTGAGACAAGAAACCCTGTATTCCAAAACCCGATCCACAGACTGAAAGTCAAACTGACGGATCTCTAGCGCCGGAAGTTTAAAGGTGCACGTTGAAGGCAGTGTTTCAAGATATTCCAGCTAATGAACAAGCATAGGCGACTTTGCATGGTGTTGATTGTTGTGCAATACCCTGACAACCTACGCCTCCTAGTCTGCATCGCTTGCAAAAGCGCCTATCTTGCGGTCGGTGTCCGGCCCACCAACACGGGCGAAGATATCGGAGAGAACGCCTATGCCAGGGTTCTGCAACGTGTTCCAGAGTTCTGAGATCAGCATGGCGAGAAATTCACGAGCAGCATCTTTCAGCAAGAGCACTATAGAAAGTCTTGTCATCAATGCCATGACTATTGACTATTCTTACCCGTGGCACTGGCAGCAGGAGCAGGAGCGGGAGCAGCATTGTCGTCGTCGTGCAATTGCTGTTGATGTTGCCGTTGCCGCTGGCGTTGCCGTTGCCTCTGCTGCTGCGGCTGCTGCTGCTGTTGCTGCTGCTGCGGCTGCAGCTGCCGCTGCCGTTGCCGCTGCCGCCGCCGCCGCCGCCGCCGCTGGTTGCCGTTGCCGTTGCTCTTGCTCTGCTGCTGCTGCTGTCGCTGTTGTGGTTGTTGCTGGTGTTGTTGTTGCTGTTGTTTGTTTTGGTGTTGTTGTTGGTGGTGGTGTTGGTTGTGGCGGTGATGGCGGCGGCGGGGGCGGCGGCGGCGGTCGTCGTCGTGGTCGTCGTCTTAGCATTAGAATTAGTAGTAGCAGTAGCAGTGGAAGTAGCAGTGGCAATAATGATCAAACTACGTATGAAAAATAGGCATAATAGCGAAATCCCCGACCTGACAATGCATTTCTGGTTCTGAAGCATGCCTTGCAGCATAACTTGCCACTCCGATTTGTAGCTCGCTGAAAACGTCAAGAACCTGGGCGTGAGCCCCTGGACCCCGGGAAACCATCGAATCTGAAGGACTCTTCCCCCTAGCCGACCTGGGTTCGCCGGATCCGCCTCGCCCGCCGTGACCCCAGAGCGGCCCCACTCCAGCAGGCTGGACGGCGGCGGCGATCTTGGCCGTGGACAGGACATGAAAGGTGCCACACAATCCTGCACGTGTCCTGTCACTGATCTCGCTTGGCTGTGTGTTGCGCAAGCCTGCTGGCACTGTCCCTTTCAGCGCTATACGTCTTGGTACTACCGCATAACTGCTGGAATCAAGCGGCCCCGTGGCTTTATCGAAGGCGAAATTGGCCTGACCCGTTCGTCGCAAAGCGCGACTGCAGCAATTGAGATAGCAGGGCCCTATTGGCAAGGATGATGTAAAGTGTAAGTGCTTGGGCGTCCGAGTGAGGAACCTCTGGAAAAGACGCAAAGTAACCTTTGACCCCACCACCTCAATGCAACGGCTTGATCTGGAATCGTTTCAGACCTGCTGACGGTTCCAGCGTATGTGGTGCCAGGGAGTACACGCGACATGTTCACATCATCGATTTGAGCAGAAACCTCTTCGGGGCACACCTCCACCAGTTGAGGCTTTACATTATGGTAGGCTTCTCTGAAGACCGGACCTACATGTTCATGTGGGGGCCAGAACAACTAGAGTTAGCAGGGGATACATACTACTGTATGGGCTGACAAACCTATGAGGAATAGCTCAGGAGTCAATCTCGCCCTCTGCCTGCAGCACAATCCCAGCCACGCGGGCACCCGTCGCGGCGTTTTCAACGAGCACGCATGGACTTCCTTTCAGAATTGGGCGAGGGCCATGAATGAAAGCTGCAGGAACCAGGAGTCGGGAGCAAAGCCAATAGAAAACAGATCCCGAAACGCCAGCGCTCCACACATCGTTCATGCAGAGCCGATGTGTTTCCGGATGAGTTCATGATTTGGCCTTGCCTCTTGAATCTGGCACAGTTTCGCCGCAGTTCCCGATGCCCTTAAGCGACTCTTCCGACCACGAATTCTATAGTTAGTTAATAGAGGACCCTCGTAGAAAGACCCACAGCAGGACCATGCTTACCCCTAGATGGGGACCCCTGATCTTCAGAAACCCCATCTTGCCAACACCAAGGAGCCGTCTTTGGGAGCGACCAGCGTCGCCATGCCTATTCCCAGTAACACCTGTGGCCCATCTTCGGCTTGGGAGAAGCTCAACGCAAGGAGCCCAACGCACCAAAGGGGAGTGTGACAAAGACCACAGCACCCTGCTAAGCCTTACCCAGAGAAGCACCTCCACTCTTGAGTATAGGGCTATAGGATTTTGGATCTGCCTTTTGGTTTCAGGCTTTTGGGCACTTGAGATTTTGGGGGGTTTGGAGTTGTTTGGGATCCCAAGCTAATGTTTGTCCGAGCAAGCCTGGTTCTTGAAGGTGAGGGTCAGGGTCGCGGTGAGGTTGTAAATTCCTTGTCTGCGCAACTCTCGAACTAACTGCCGCAGAGTTCAGCCACATGGTTCAGCATTGGGGCATCCCCTTGCGGAATGCTGTCAAGAGTAAGAGCCTCAAGAATGAAGGTCTCTTCGCCGCCATAGCCATAAAGTAATGCCTGAACTCTGAAACAGACTCCACCTGCAAAACGATTCAATCAAATTTTGAAATTATCTTGACATGCAAGCAGCAATGCCTATGCTGCCGACACTTTCCTTGCATAGAAGCTCCCCATGTACGGGCAGAAGCTCCTTCAGTGTCTATCAAAATATTCGGAGTCATTGACTCCGGTGTCCCAGTGTGGCTTCTCACCTTTTTTAGGAAGCCCTGCGCGGACACACAAACTTCACCTAAGTCTGCTGAAGGTCCAGGGGAGAGCACCACGTGAAGACCAGAGGTCAGCTTCGACTGAATCGTCGAGGTCAGGTCTTCGGCCCTCAGACAGAGGAAACCCGGAAACCCACATGGAGCTCACAAAACAAGGTTGCCTGAAACTTATGTCAGCTCTGCATGCTTTGCTGCATCTAAGTCGCCGAGCTACGTAGACCTGGATTTTCGCGGCTTCTCGGGAAGCGCAATTATGGTTCCGGAATCTGTTTGCATGATGGCTGGGAAGTGGTCTCTATGAATCTCGGAACCTGGGCAGTTGTGGAACCCGGGTGCCACAGGCCTACAGAGTGCCTTAGACATAAAGAAAGCATTGATCATCCTCGCAGCCTGGTCCATGCTTCCTGGTCTTCCATGGCATGGAGCCCTGGCCCGCGTACCTGCTCGAAAGGCACGGTCGTCGTGGTTTCTTCCACGGCTGGCCCGACGGAGCCTGGGTAGCAAAAGCTTTCAGTTCAGTTTCGGATATTCACACTCTCCGGGTGGGAAGTTTCCTTCCTGGCAGCGAAGTTCAACGGTTCAACAGCACTTGCCAGAATCAAGTCTCGCCTGCAACCCACCCGGAGTTGCTGCTGCTGACCCTGCTCGGCACCTTCCACCCTCAAGATGCAGTACTAACACGTCCTTCCCACCAACTGTACGCCCAACCTGCCTATGATATGCATCTGCGAAACTACCTAGTGCGGGAGGTGTACATGTAGATGTGGACATGATATACGACATGCATATATAGCTACTCAGTAAGCTATGACCGGCATGGACGAGAGGCCAACAGACTTAGGCGATCGATATGATTCCAAACCGAGGGCTTTCGGGGCTTGGGGGATTGAGGGTTCGGGACCTCGACATCCTCTGTTGAAAAAACCCAAAACCCCGACAGCCCACTCTCCAGAGTCTGCGATGTGTCTGCGCCATGTGGCGAAATTTCGGCTTGGGGACCTGCAAGTTGTAGCGGCCGGTGGCTTCCTCGTTGAATGCGACGGCAGGGGACTTCTTAGGCAATCAGAGTTCAAAATACTTGGAGCTGCTTATTTGATAGGTGGTTGGCATTTTGGACATCGGGTTCCGGCGCATAGCAGCCCGGGTTTGCTCCTTGAGCGTCTTTGGTGCTGAATTCTTGGCAACGGACTTTCAGCGGTTGATGCAAGTCGCAGCCGACAGCTCCAATCGTTGAGTGACTCCTCATCTACTCGTTGGTCTGGCTTCCAGGACATTTTCTCGGAAGGAGTGGGCAAAGATGCCACGCAGCTCGTTCTACTTCTACATGGCACCTAATCAATCCGTGCAAAGCCTCCTACAGGAAATCGAAAGATGATGCTTTCCATGAACTCAGAAGTGCCTTTCAGATTTCAGGCCTGCTTGGACATGTGGGTCAAGTGGAAATGTGAGGGAGCCAACCGGAGCAGAGCTTCGACGCGTGTGCAGGCAAGTGGCGATGGTGATGTAAGGCTTTTCAGCGATGACCGGGGTCAGAGCCACCTTGACGGCTCGATGGCCCCAAACGTCAAACGCAGTAGCGAAGGGAAACCCGTGCTGGATGCCGCGGCTTACTTATCCAGGTTTGTTTCCACACGAGCCGAGAACCAGCACGGCTCTTGAATCTGCGCCGACCTTCTTCGTTAAATGTACCGCCCGAACGTGCACATGCCAGTTGCATTCAGGAGCACATTTGTCAATGCTGTCTTGTAGCCCTCGGCCGGCAGGGTCTCACGTGGGCTGCCTCGGTTCCAGGCATGGAATGGCATGGCCATGAACCCCTGTGCTTCCGTGTACCCTGATCTGAGCCAGGAGTTTGGAAGCCTATTCCGAAGCATCGGTGTCTTGTGTTTCCAAAAGCTGATGCAGAAAGCTCGCTGCCAGCCTACACAAAGCCACTTTGGCACAGGACCTGTCGCTACGGTGTCTGGCTTTCTAACTCGGACCTCCTTGCCTACGCATAGAGGTGGCAGCAGCGAAGTGAAGGTGAATCAAGATTGGGGGAGGAACGGGAGCTACGTTCCTCTCCTCGTTTGGTAGAATAAGGACCTACATACTCAGTAGCAAGTGGCAACCAAGGAGCCAGTGCATCCCACAAGCACAACATTCCACTGGCCACCCAACACAGCAGCATCCGTCGTGGAGATGTTGGAGTTTCGGACAATCCACTGCTGCCTGGTTGCCATCATTCCAAAACCCAAGTCTTTCTCCAGGCGACGGCATGCTGTAGATCATCAATGCATGTTCGGACAGTGATGCATGATTCGTTCTTCACCCGCTTCTATTCTGCTACCCTGCTCTTGCTGAGGAGCTTACACCTACGCAAAGTCGACCCTCACAAACCAGAACGACTGCATGGATTGAAAGAAGCTGCTGGCCGCCCAGTACGGTCGAGCCGCCCACCTGAAGCCGTTAGATTTCGCTCAGAAACAGTACTGCATACTGAAGAGTCGGGTAAGGGAGACAAATTGCACAAGTTGCAGCCAGCCCACCTGCATATCGGCCATGTATCCTGCGCGAGGCTTGAAGCAGCATCAGTGACCGACAACCGACGTCTTGCTTCCCCGCACGGTCGGTAGTAGCATGCACAAGTCCGACCCTTTGCGAATTGAGTCTGAAGTTTCGGACTTGCAGCACAGGCTAGAGGAGCTTCTGTGGCATCTGGAGGAAAGCCGAACCCTTTGGACGCATGCTGCTGCAAACCATACTCCACAGATTACTGTAATGCACTTCTGAACTGCTTACTATGAGAGAGCTGCGTTGGTCTGTTGGCTGTCTTCGCCTCCACTGGCCCAGGCACCCGGCACGGAGAGAGTGAGGTTCCTGAAGCAACTCGGCGTCACGGAACCGCTTGTCGCACACATACTTCTCTGCAAGGCAGCTCTGAGAGCTCTTCCAGTGGACGGGGTGCTGTGTGTCGCATGTCTTCGGGCTGCAGTTTTGCACAGTGCTTCCGAGTATCGGTGTTACCTTAACCCGGTTATGCTATGACCGAAGTTCTTGTCGGAACCCTTCGTCTTCGACTGTTATCCGAGCTGTGGAGCCCCTTCCGTGCTTCCACCCGGTGCTCCCATCCCCGCCGCCCAACCCCTTTGCTTGCGGCATCACTGCGCCTAAGTTTCATGCCTCGGGCGTTACGCCACCTTTTGGGGCCTGCTCGCAAGCCAGATTTTTGCAGGCATAGAGACACTGAGCATACTGCTGGCATAGGGCTGGATGTGTTCAGCTCTCTGCACATAAATTTACTGCGTGGCCAAGCAGCTTGTCGACGCGAATTCGTCGGATGGGCGATGCTTGTGAGACGGCCCAGAGCCTGGAACAAAGCAATGCTACAGCTGACACTCCTTTGCGGTGCCGGAAGCGGAGCAGCAATTTGGATATCATAAAACCTACTTGTTTACTTATTCTTTGCGGATGGCGACGGTAGGTATTGAGAGAAACGCTGAAAGCAGCCCAGGCGCATGCCCCAGGGAGAGGCATGGTGGAAATTCTCTGCGCTACGCCTCGGCTATGCGGTACTTGATTTCTCGATCTCCGAGCCATCGACATGCATGGCGAGCATGCTGCAAGCGGATGGTGGCAAAAAGAACATGGGGCAGTTGGGACCGGCAAGAACTGCACGCAGATATGCATGAGGATCACCGTAAGGGGGTGTGCATCCCGGAGATTCTGTCCGCGAGAGTCTAGCTACAAATGCAACGAACTTGGTGCTGCCATCCGGCCAGAAATTGTCCAGCGATCCTGGATCTGGGATGGCGCCCATTGGCTTGGAGTGGACACCCCACCTGAATGACTTGCAAGAATGAATCAGCGATAGTATCAGAAGGTCTCAGGATGTGTGCTTCAGGCTGCCCGTTTAGTGGAGTGTCACCACCCGAATCGACCCTCACGAAAACACCTCGGGCACAAGCACTTGAAGAACTGCCTACTTCGCAGCCGCAGCCGGAAAATGAGTGGCATGATCGGGCTGCACAGGGCGCCACAACGTCGACAATACCGACAAGACATGGCTGCGATGCACCAAGGACCTGACGCGCTGGTGAACTGCACGTCCTCTCGTATTTTCTCATTCTCGGCTAGTTTCGAGGCGCAGGATATTCGAAGCCAGCCGGCGCAGAATCATCTTGGCAGCTACAGAACTGTGTTCTTTCGAGAACAACCCAAGGAAATCAGAAAAGACTCGAAAGTCCGATCTCGACGCAGTCCTCCGGCCGCTCGCCGAGGCCGAGAACCTGCCGCGCAGCTGCGGAGGTGAGCCCGGGTCGAAAAGAAGGGCTGGACAGCACCATCATCGTAGGCTGCTACTAGTACTGACAGGCTGATGCTACGCAGGACTTCCTCTTTTCGAGCTGTCTTGAACCGTATTTCATGAGATTTGGCAGATCTGGGCTTCATTGAGGCGTGTAAGAAGGTTCACCTTTCGCGTGCCGGTCGCCGCAGCCGGGTGTCCAGGCCCAAGAAGCGAACACTAAGCTTGTTTTGGAGAACCCCGATCTCGGAGACATGACATTCGACACCGGTTCGAAAGTGCCTGTTCTTGGAGAGCCCAAACCTCGCCAGTACCAGTTTGCAGGCTGCCTGGGGTCTAGAGCTCAGGCAACGGCCCAGACTTGCCACAACACCGAATTGCTCCGTGCCTGGACATAGTAGCCCACTTCGATATCTGTTTCCTTGGTGCTCAAAGCTCGTCAATCACGAGCCGAGTTATTCATTGATTCGAATCCACAGCAGTCCTGTTCTGAGTTTACACGAAGCATGACATCGGGAATGGTTTCAGACTACGGGGCCTACCTACACAACCGGCATATGCGGTGCGGGTAGCATATGTTCCAGGCTTGAAGAGCAGCGCCTTGCGATCGGAGCTGTAGTGGCCGGTGGTCACCTGGTTCTGACGCTGGCTCACGTCACCCTTAACCCACCATACCACGGCTAGCACCTCCACCAACCATTCAAGCTTGGACTTATTACTGAACCCGAAACCCCAAAATTCAGTACAGGCTGACAGCCTCCCCACTCCCAAGCTGCTGAACAGCCCAGGGGCGTTATTGAGCTCCGACAATAGAGCTGCAATCCTCGCAGTCAAGTCGGAACCATTCACCGCATCCTGGAGCCAGGGTCCAGAATGTCTACTGGTGCAGGCCTTCAAACATCAACTGGTGTCATCTACTGTCTTGAGAGTTTGTTGACAGGCATGAGAGCCGCGAAGGGCTGAAATTGAGGTCGCCTACTGCAGCCTCAAGATGTAGAGGTCAGATACTATACTACTATACCTCCCCACAAGCCCAAAAACCCCACAAGGCCCCGAAGCCAGAAGAGCAGAATAGTGAGATCACGCCTCAGGGCCGAAGATGTAGACCTGGGACAAGTCTCATCTGTTGAGGAGCACAGCTATTGCAGAACCTGTCACCTTTTCGTTGTTTTGGGTTTTGCTGTGTCGCTGCATTTTATTGCATTCTCTCCCTGCTGGGCAACCGCGCCGAACTTGGCCAGCTTGGCGGGTTCGGCTCTGGCGGCGGCAACGGCACCAGCGGCGCTGTTGCAGAACTGCGTGGCAGATGCAAGTGCAGACATCTTGAAAGCTTCCATTCCAAGACCGGCTTTGACTGTAGCCCTGTAGCGGAATCCCATTCAAAATTCCATCGCACCGGACCAACATCGACGACCGTGCCATACCGATGCTCCGGGTTTCGAGAGACCTGAAAGTGAAACCCACGCTCCTGCTGCCCTTGAGGGGTTATTCTTCTGAAATTCTTCTGAAACAGCATGCATTCTGATTGTATGAGTCGGCAGACCATTCATACGTCATCATCACCCTTCTTCCCGATGTTCTACCATTTCTTCTACCCCGAAACCACAGCTTCGGCCGGCCCTCCCGGTGCAAACAGCCAAGGCGCAGGTAGGCCAAGAGCCCCAAGCCTGAGAAGTGACACGTCGCGAGACTTCGCTGATCTAGTCTAGAATTAACGAGAGTCACTTGGCCACTGACCTTTGAACCTTTTCTCTATCTTATTGAAGATATGCTGTGGTCGTGTGCTTCCTCTTCTTGCTCTCATGGAGGCGGAAGGCTACTATGAACCTGAGCACTGCCATGTGCACTCTTCAATTCTGCTGTAGCATCTGTCTTGTGAGTATCGCCATACATGATATTGTTCTTCTTCTGCTATGTGCTCCAGCTGGAGGCACGAAGACTCTCAAGACTCGCACCGGAGCTGCATGGCGTGGACTTCATCCCCAGTCTGCAACACTAAGCCGCAGGCTCAACAAAGTGCGTTGCGGCATGGCTGGGAGCTATTCGCAGGGAGAGTCGAGGGCTGTCTTCGAGCTTGGGGATCTTGGGTCTGCTTTGGCAGCTCTCATGGAGCACTGCAGGGGTTGGAGTGCTGGGCTAAGGCTAAGGCCATCTGTGGGGAAGGGAAGCTGTGTGAGTGCACGTAACGGCCGGAACCAGGGAAGCCTGGCTATCTTTCGAAAAACCAAGGCTACTCATGAGGCAGATGCTTTCGGTTGGCCTGCCTTCTCATATTTGGGGCAATCTAAGTTGCGGTCTGGCTTGAGCCGACGGAAGCTTGTCGTGAATTACTTGTGTCGACAAGCAGGAGGTACAGACACGTCTCCTGACGAGAGCGTAGCGGTTAAGACGAAAGCTCCACCTGCACCCCCCTAGTGTTCCCGAATCCTGTTGGACAAGCTCTGAATGGCAGACGAGGGTAACCTAAGGCATTTCCCCGTTGAACTCAACACACTCAACCTTCACCTCCAACTTGACCTCGCCTACATTTACCCATGCAAGATGCCCCTGGGATCCTCCTGGAGGTCGTGCTTGGCACGCATGGACAAGGCCTCTGCCTCTGCCTGCATCTGCTCTGGCTTTTGGCTCAAGGTTTAGGGTTCGGGTTGCCGAGTTTGGCGGTTCTCTTCACTTAGGGCCGAGGCTGAGCCCCTTCAGTTTTCGGGCTGGGACTTCGAGAGGCGCTTCTCTTCGCCTCTTTGGACTCACGGGGCCTTCGCCTTCCGCTCCCTACACTCCCTCTGCCTTTGAGGATCGGCAAACCATACGTATTTCTCAGGCCGGTTGCGAGAAGCGAGGTTCGGTCCACCTTGAGGGCTGAGGTAGGGTTACAGCAAGCCTTGGGGCAAAGATGTTAAGTAGAGTCAGTTGGGCTTCAGTTTCAGGGGAAACGGAAGCTTCAGTGATGTGCTATGTTAGACTTCCGCTGTCACCAACGAGACCATCTACTTGGACGCATGCCAAAAAAAGATCCTGCGGAACTCTGAAGCATCATTTGAGGCCCGAAGGGCCAGAGTGCAGCCCGCAAGGCCAAAAACGCGAAGCGCAGCCTCCTGGCCATCTCCGGCGCCATATGTTTCGACCTGGTGGTTTCTTGTGGCGGGAATGTGGGCTGCGCTGCACTTGCAGCTCTCGCCGAGGATGCTCAACAAAGAACTGAAGGGCCTTACAACCGATGCTGTAAACGAGTGGAAAACGGTGTATCGATCGTCTGTTGGACCTCGAAGAACCTGGAGAAAATACATACATAAAGTTGGATTGCCATGATACTGTATGGTCATGATGATGATGATGGTGGTGATAGTGATAGTGATGATGATGCTAGTGGTTATGATGATGATGATGATAATTGATAATGATGAGGATGATGAGGATGATGAGGAGGAGGATGATCATGATGAGGATGATGATGATGATGATGATGATGAGGATGATGAGGATGATGATGAGGATGATGAGGATGATGATGAGGATGATGATGATGATGTCTCACAAATTAATGCCGAACACCGGGTTCATGCTGAGGAGAAGGGGGATGGCGAAATGGTACCCTTGCAAAAGGCAAACGCGCCACCGTCACCCTGAGAATGGCCCGGAGAGTCGCACCGGCCTCTCGGGGAGCATATAGTTCTCCAATTCTGTACGCACACCCAGGCACGAATGCAAGGTTTCTATGGTCCTGGTTGGTGTTGACATGACACTGCGGACTGGACTGTTTCTGCATGGTTCCACCAAAAGAATTCCGATCGTCAGTGCAGTACGGCTCTTGGGGAAAGCTCCTCCTCGAGAGACTTAGCTTTTTGATCCCTCGGAGTGTCCCTCGCCAGCCTCGTTTGCAGCCACCACGTCTGCGGCCCGCGCTAGTGACCGCTGAATCTGGCGGATGCGGAAGCAGTTTCGCCTCGAAGACGGTAGCAAAACAAAAAAAAAAAAACGACGAAGCCAAAACCCGCCCGTTCTCAGCAAGGCCAGCAGGCCGTGTTGAGAGAGAACTTCTAAGCGCATGCACCCAGCAACGAAGCTCTCAATACTCGGCCCCCGAGCCCAACGTTGTTCGTCGGGTTTACCGGATCCTCGACCTTGGCATTGCAGCTTCCGGTCGAAGATGCTAGGGTGTCTCTGGAAGACTCAGTTTAAGCAGTGGGGCTTGGCTGCAGTGGAGAGACATGGAGAGACCTCACCAGCGGTTTGGCAGCAAATCAAAACAGGATAACAGCCTTGACACACAGCCATGGATACGTCCAGGGCGAGGTCGGGGATTTAACATGAGGTAACATGGAGTGGCAACGTTTCTCCTTTTTCGGTGAAGCAGGAGCCAACGGGGTCTGCCGCATCTAACCCCTGGTGCATAGCTGCCGAGACATCTACAAGTTCACTCGCTGAGTGCTACACGTAACGTCGAACTCTAAGTGCAATGTAGGCAATGTAGGTGAGGCTCTGAGCAAGGGTTTCAGATTCCGCAATCCTCAACACACTGTTCCAGGCAACCCTGCTACTCATGATGTTAGAAGCCGCAATGCGGGGGCATGGTATCCTGTGTCGGCATAGCCGTGACTTCCCGCCATAACAATATTGAGCAGGCAGGTCTGGGGCTCTTGTGGCCCATCACTCATGCACTTCTAGACCCTGCCATCACTCCGGCTGAAATCAATGCTCTCGTGCAGCTCTCCTGTGTCATTGAAGCCGACATCTCTGAATTGTCGTCGTGATCGTGGCCACCAGCATAACCATCAAGGTCACTATAATCCAATGCAGCACCACTGTCACCACTATCAAGTTTCATCGCCAACACCTTCATCGAACACCGACAGTAGCATCTTTGCAATCATCGCTACGTCCAGAGCATTAACAAGTATCACCATGAAACTGCTGCTACGAGTCATGAGCATCGTGACCGTCACTGCCGTCATCATCACCGTCATCGTCTTCAGTGTCAACTTGCTATTCTAGTATCTTTAACCTTGATCTGAATCACCTTGCTGATGTTCTAGCCGTGTGACACCGACTAGCTGTTGTCAACACAACTTGACCGATAGAGCATGCCCGCGTCCTTACGCCACCTCCGGGTGTTCACGAAGGAAGCTCAGAGGTACCTCTGAGGCCGCAGGCCCAAGGTGCAGCAATTCAACCGGTTCTCTGGGACGTAGCAATTGTGTGGGTGGCGACTTCGATTCTTCTGCTCGGGGCCTGGATTGAAGCTTGAAGCTTCACGTGTAGAACTGACAGAGTTTTCAGGGACATTCCACAGTACAGAATGGCCTTCCTGCACAAAATGGCCCTCAGGCAGGCGAGGTTTCCCGAACCCCCAACAAACTCAAGCATGACCGACCAACATCCCTCAGAATCTCATGGGCGGAGTCGCCTTCATGCTGAACACGAAGAAGGTCTCCCAGCTTCTGCTGGAGGAAGGGTGCGTGTTGTTTAAGGGGACCAAGTCCTCCACACAAGTGTCAATCGCAAATGAAGTGATGGAGCATAACCCAACGGGGCTTGAAAGCTCCAAAGAGCATGCTCACAGTCGGAGAAGCCATGCATATTCTTGCCAGTCACTGAAAACCTCGAAATCTTGGGAGTTGACAGCTTCGCTAGGCCCACCTCTGGCTTGTTCCCGACGAGGTTAAAGCCATGCCGCCTCAAGGAAAGAGCAACCCTGCAGGGTTTAGAGTCTAGAAAATCAGGGCCCTGAATACTGCGGGGTGTTTGTCCTGCCCAATCGTCGGGCAGGAGCAGGAAGAGGGGAACGCTGATCCTACTAATGTGCTTGGCGCTTCCATCTCACATCTGAAATATGTTCGAGAACCCGGAAAGCAGTGGGAAAACTTCACCACCCCCACACAAGGCCTCAGACGATTGACCAGCTGCATCCCAGAGTGGAAGTCAGAGGCTAGGCCCATGTCATGCAGCGTCTTCACCTCGCCAAACGCCGTTTGGTACATCGTGCTTTATCTGCAGCACCCCGAAATCCCAAGCCAAAGGGTTACCTCCGGCACCCGGGAGCAAGCAAAGAACCCGTCTCAAGCGAGGAGCCTCGTAGCCATTGGCAGTTTGGGCAACGATGTGCCCATCATCAATCCTTTGTGCTTTGAAATGGGGGCTAAAGACTGACTCCAAGGACCTAAACCCTAAACCCTAAACCCTAAAGACTGACTCCAAGGACCTGGGATCAGCTTCGGCTCGGAAATTGAGCAGGGCGAAAGTCACAGCTTGCTGAGTCTTTGCCCGGGATCTTCGGTTCCACGGTGTAGTATCGCTCACCACCGCCGAAGGACGCTTGGATCTCGAGATAGTAATCAACGTACTCCGACTCGATCCTGAGATGCAGAGCGAAATCCTGCGTGACCGAAAGAAGCAGACAGAAGAGGGGATGTGCCTTGCAGGAAGCAGCCGTAGTCCTAGCCCGAGTATCAAGCACAATCCTTGTAACGAGCAGGAATCGGTTAAGAGCAATACTAGGGGAAACAGTCGACGGAACCGGGAACAGCAAGAATCCAATTAACATACTCCTTGTGTCATACTGATAAGATTGGCAAAGACGAGAATAACAAGAACTTGTATGCTAGAACAGCAAAACCTGCACTAAGAGTATCTCTGGGTACAACAGAAATCACAACCATGACGCTAGATTTCAGCTGCAGCGAGACAGTCATCGTAGCAGCAATACTTAGCAATAAGGCGATAGTGATAGGATTCTTGCGTCCACTCGAGCAGGTGAGTCGAGGGTCTGTCGGCGCACTACCTCTGCGCGTGTTTCTGACATCGCCACCACGGCTTGCGCGATCGCATTTGCCGTCGTCATTGGTGGGCCGGGGACACGAGCAGTTCAAACATAAAGGACAACAGACAGGCACCCTGTTAGTGCTTCTGGCGGGTTCGGGGGCGTGGATTCTCTTGTCTTCTTGTGTTCTGCTATGTGCAGGGCCAAGCCCTTGAGCAGCTTGGCTGTGGAACATTGCACAACCTTCACAAAACCCTGTCCAGCCAGCCAACCCTGTCTCACCTTGCAGCACCAGGCAACCCCGGGAACGCAACGTTCGTGAGCTGTATCAATACAGGCACTCACACTCACCGATGGCTGTCTTGAGCTGCCCTACTTGCGGCAAGAGCATGGGCTGGACCAAACGGCGCCGAATGAGGCGCTCGCCCACAGCGGATCAAACCTGTGAGCTTCCTCCCCGCAAATCTCTTTGCCTTGCCAGGATCTAGGCATACGCAGGGCGCAGAGGCTCACAAACCACCAACACTTCTGGTTCTGTCTCTTGGCGGGCATGGTGAGACTAACCCCTGTCGCTCCACCCCAGACTCATCACATTGATCCGCAAACGCCAAGCCCAAACACAGTGATTAACCCCTCCCTGCCTGCAGGTGCACTAGTGGGGTGCAGCAGGCCACGCTCCACCAACTCGGCCTGTCAGTAGTCAAAGCGTGTAACAGTGCAGCAAGAAGAGTAACTGCCTAAAGCTGTTCCTGTCTCAGAAGTTCCCGCACCCGCATCCGACGGTCCGGAATCCCGTGGATGCAAAACCCCAGGCCCGGGCCTGTTCTGGTGGCCAAGTCGTGGGACTCTTCCTGCGAGGAGAGTTCTGCATGTTAAGCTTGCTGCGGAAGGTGCAATGTGTCTGTCTGCAGTGACCCCAACATTGCGGAGCAGGCTACAACGCTGTCACAACAGCACCTGCTTGACCTCATTAGGTCCCTTACCTCACTGGGACTGGCTCTGAAAGATCCTGAAAGCTGGTATGTTCGTGAAGAGGCAGAGGGCCTCTTGAGAAACGCTGCGCGGGCAACGCTGACACCATAAAGCCTGGGTGTGCACGGTTCGTGCACGATCTTTGGCGATTTGGGGCTTGTCCTGATAGCATGTCTGGTTTGAGCTGCACCTCAACGCTACGCCGCTACACAGTATCCACGCTCTTGGCAAGCATTGGCAACTTTTGGGTCATCCCGAGGCCAACGCAGCAATATTCTGTCCAAAACTCACCTTCCTGTGCTGTCAGTCTGGCAGCTGGGCTGACCGACTGTGGGTCAAAGCGCCGGCCGTAGAAGTTCAGAAAGCCAACCAATGCCTGCTCCGAACAGCTTATGGGCTCAAGGCTCCACGTCGTTGCACGGTTCAGTGCCTTTAGGGTTTCAGGCTTTGGGCTGAAGATTTTGTGGGCCTTGGGCTTTCGGGAACTGTTCGGCGGTGGGCACCCGGAGCAACGGAGATGGGATTGACTCTATGTCACGCTGGAGTGCTGAAAAAATCCAAGTTCCCAGGAGGAAGGAGGAGACCTTGGATCCTAAGGGTCTGAGCCTGGATCGTTTCCGAAGGAGCTGGTTCCGTTTGGGGCTGGGACGCCGAAGGCAGAGGCGGGATGAAGAAGGGAGAATTTTTCGTCCTTGCCGGTGTGTTTCCAACGGCAAAGTTACACTACAAAAGAATGGGACCATTCATTGGCTGTTAACCAGTATCCCGCGAATCCACTCCGTCGGTAGCACCGAAAAACTAGTTTCTAAAAGTGTGAAGTTTCCACAACTTCTTGATGTTGACCATGCTGGATGCTGGACAAGGCCACCGATTGCTTTGAGTCGAAAACCGTAATGATCATGGCACGTGGACGCCCGATTCAATCGGTTTACGAAACATCGCAAAGAGACCAAACCCCTGAAACCCTAGGCTCTGAAACGCCAAACCCTAAAGGCTCAAACCCTAGAGCCCCCCCAAGAAAAACAAAACACCACAAGCACAAACAGGGCTCCAGACCGCCGCAAGGCTGGTGGCTGGAAAGTGCTGCAGCAATGCGACCACCATCCTCGGGACAGAAAACAGCTACCTAAACAGAGTATAGGGTTCTACGGGATGGTAGAACATGGTGCAGTCTAGCACATTAAGGTGAATTCTGGCTTGTTATTGCGTGCTCTGGCATGCTAGGCATCTCGCAGTAACATGCGCGCAGTCTGCTGTAGTCCTCGACAGTCCCCGTAGTACACGTAGCAACGTCGCTGTCGTAGGTCTTAGATACTACTCGTCGTCGCGGTCGCCCTCGGTCACGGTTCCATTTGCGACTAGAGACTTCCACCCGTCTGTGCGCCACCCGTCGACTTCCATCATGCATAAAGACGTACTCGCACAGCATGCTCTATTCACTTGTCACGGCCACAAATCTCCGGTCGTCAGCTGTAGACCCTGAATTTTACGTACCAGTACTGCCTCCAGAGACACGCTACCATCTGCATAGGTTTGTCACGAAACACACCGCCGTGCTCCGAGCTGCAGGCAGTAGGAGACCGTAGGAACAAAGGCCACCGCTGTGTGACATGGAGTACGCCTGTTCCTTAGGAGCAAGTAGGGTTGAGGCTAGCCGGGTGTAGTGACAGAAGCTCTATGCAGACTCGTGTGGTGACCCAGAAAACCCAAGTGTACGAGGCACTTGCTAGAAAACAACATGGCGAGTGTCACCCCGACTTAGCAAGCTCATCCTCTCTTCGCCTCGTATGCCACGAGGGGTTCCAGGAGGAAACGGCCATGTGGGGCGCATGCAACGTTGAAGATCAAGCTCAACCGGTGTCTTTGAAAGCTCAGTTTAGAGATTTCGGAGTAGTTCCCACAGACGATGCTGCACGCAGTCCCAAAGCAGACGATTGTGGATCTTCCCATCTCATCTCGGGCACAGGCGATGAGCCACTGCTTGAGCACCAGCGTTACCGGCCTGTCAGCTTGCCGTTTTTGGACGCACGACTGTTGGAATATACTCTGTACGATACCGCTGTTTCTTCATGGGCCCTTTTCCACCTGCATAGACGGGAATGCATCTAGAGGGCCTCTTGTTGGTCGGAGCCTCTGAAACACAAGGGTAAAGGGTTCAGTGCAGTTTCGAAGAGCTACCTTTACGATTGAAAGCGTGCGATGTTTCGCCCTTGTCGATGCTTCAACAGACTGCGAACTCGATGACTGCGTTCCACCAGGCATCTATCTTGCTGCCAGTGTTTGTCTCTACTTATCGGCAAAACGACAGACGACCCACTACCTGCAAGCCCTGCATGCAAAACAGGCTACTCCCAAGATCAAGTCTGGAGACGCACTGTGCCTAGCCATTGGATATCGGTTGAGCAGAAAGTTGATGAGCGCCTGCAGCGAGACAGGATGTGTGTATCGATTCACGGAGCAAACTCCAGAAGACCTCGGAGGCCCTCGTTGCTGCGAAGGCCCGGGGCTTTCAGGGCTCGGTCTGAAACCCAAAGAGCCGAGCACGGGTGCCTTGCTTCGGAGCCCCCGGTGGCTCGAGTCGTGGAGGCAGACGTCCACACGAGTGGAGCCTCCAAGGGAGGCGGAATTTAGCTCTTGCTTCAAGGCCTGGATTTGCGATCCGAAGGCAGTTCGGATGGCCCGTATCAGAACAGCGGAAATGGCAGCTGCGGACATATCATGAACCAAACGCTGCACTCTTCGCAGATTTCGCCCAGAGCCTGCCAGCAGCTCCTCACTTTCTGTCGACACCCTCTTCACCTTGGATGTCGTTTGTTTTGTGACTGTGACCAGAACGAGGGCCAGCGCAGGTTCTCACGAGTCTCGGAATCACCATGTTCCGAGAACTGGTCAAGCGTAACAGGCGCCCCGGCCGCCTCTGGTGCAGTCACGAAGGAGAGTACCTGCCGAGCTGACGAAGGCCTAGGGCTTCGGGATTGCTGGGGTTCAGCCTTAGACGTGCCTCTTCTGTTTGTCCATAAATGAAGCTTAGCTTTCACTCCTGGGACGGTTAAGTCAGGGCACTGGGATGGCTGCATGGGCCGCCACGCGAATCGAGTCGCTCAGCACCTCGGAAAGACGTGACAAAAGTTGCCTGGTTTTTTCCGACAGGAGGAGTCCACTGCTTGGGCAGTTCTTGGCTCCAGGCCCACTTCTCGCGGGCGAGTCGATCCGAAAGCTGTTGCTGCCAAGCCGAGGAGGAGATTGCCTTCACGGCATCTGGTCACAGTCCCTCCAAGCTCGGCCCTTCCATGCCCTTCCCCTCTTCCGGCCTTCACCGAGCGGCCCGAGTGTCCCGGCCTCCAGAGCTAGCAAAGAAAGGAATTTGTGGCGTTCCGCGTGTCTCTTAGTCTTAAATGTTGCTAAACCAGATCTCCCCAATCAGACCCCATTGCCGAAGCAGCAGAGCCGACTAAATAAAACTTTATCCAGGAAAGGTTCGGAGTCATTCACCTGTTGCCGCTCAGTGTAGCCAAGTCGCGAGACCTCTTCCAAGTTCAACTGCCGCAGCTGCTCCTCATCTTCGTCGATGGGAGAAAGCAGTGCCTCAGCATCGAACTCCCAAAACCCGAATTTAGGGGAGTCCCCGGCACATGCAACCCGCCAAAATCGAGGTAAGACTATGCCTGTCTTCTGACCGAAATCGCGGGGTGTGCAGGATGGCAGGAAAGTCTGGGAGCTTCAGCTACCGTGTTTCAGAACCCGCCGTGTTGTCCAAACACACCAAAGGTTCGACAACACGGGAGTCCGGCCTCTGCAGCCTCTGCCTCATCGCGCCCGAAGCGGCTTGGCTGCAACTGGCAGAGCGAGCTTGAGAGAGGCGTGTGCAGCTTCCCGAGCAAGGCCGACAGGATCTCTCAGCGCGAAGGTCTGTGAAGTACGAGCCCTAGGCCCCAGGCTGCGACTTCTGCGATTTGCAAAGGATGCGGGCCATGCAGCTCCGAAACCCATCTCGAAGCCCCCATAGATTGGGGCACCTTGATGAGAAGATCGAGGTTGCTGCTCCGCAGACCTAAGCCCGAGGCGTAGGAGCCGTACCTTGGCTTCAGGATTGCTGAATGGACGACTGTAAGTCTGCAAGTATGATAGGTGAGAGTCATAAAACTCAAGGCCCTTTGACTTCGCGAACCTGGCCCCAAGCACAAGTAGCATCGGCCGTCGTCTGGAAAGATTCAGCTCGGTGCCGAAGTTATGGCTCTAGACGGTTTGATCCCAACCAAGAAAGCGCTGAGAGGTCGCGAGTCTGGTTTGCCATGTAGTTTGCAATGCCGTTGATGAGTTGATGAGTATAGAGCAAGCTCATTGGTGAAGTTTGACACTTCCAATCATGACATCTCCCAACCCAACTCCCAGTTAAACCATAAACGCAAGACCGCCCACGTAACAGCGACCCCAACAACCCTCTGCACTTTCTGCCAGATGGGGCGCAACTCCACCAGACATCGTGGCCACAAGCTCTGGGCCTCGGGCTTCTTGGAGCTTCCAACTGAATTTGCGGGCTGAGAACTTAGAGCCCAAGTTGCGGATTTAGGGTGTCAGTCTGTTTCACTTTAGAGCTTTGGGTCCTGGGGTTGACGGCTAGGGTTTGAGGTTTGGTCCGTTGACGCTGCAAAGGTAGGGCCGAAGAGCATTCGGAAATTTTCAACGCTCACATCCCCGACAGCTGGCTTCCTTGACGTACTGCGTCAGGTATCACTAGAGACCTGTTGGCGGCTGTCCTCGTGCCCAAATTCCACTAACTGTAATCAGCAAGAAAGCTTCTCCTTGACTTTGTGCGAACATGCATCTCACTTCAAGGTCCGGGCGATGCGCTTGCAGTTGGCGATCACAGCCCTGCGGTACGCGGCCTCACAAGAAGTACGCCGTCGCTCGGATTGAGTAGAAGGGTAGAAGGTGTAGGCTTCGGTACATCTGGGCATCTTGTTTTCTAATGAAACTTTGGCAGATCTTCTACGAACCCTACTGCGCCAGAAGTCATTCAACCTTCATTTCGTTCAGCTTGAGACCCTGAACCGCAAGCCTTACATCACCCGTATCAACCTGGGGCCGCAAACCTCGGACTTGGAACATCTAAGGGCTCAGGCCATCTATGTGCAATTCTATTCCGGGGAACCCACTTAAACTAAAACACCAAACCCCCCAAACTAAGCCCGCTAAACCAGCAGCTAAACTCCGACAATCGTTTCTAGCCTGACTTTCAGTCTGCAGCTCCACGCCGCGCACGAAGGCCAAGATGGAGGCCTTGCGTGCCAGGGATCTGGCAGCTTAAGGCCTGTAGTGCCGAAGGTTCTGGTTTTGTTGGCCGTTCTTTTCCTCCCTGTTCCAGTTGGAACGCAACGTCGGCTAAACCCTGGCTGAGGTTCAGGGGCTTCGATTTAGTTTAGCAGCATGCAGGGTTGGAAGCTGTCGCAACCAAAAAGCGCCAAAGCACTCGCGCACCCTACACATCCCTACACCTAATACACCGCCATCCTATGTCAGTGCTTCCAGCAAAGGCCACAACAGAAGGCCCCAGGCGCCTCGAGCACGTCTTGGGCCAGCATTGGTGGGAGTAGGTTTGCCTGCCATGACTTGCATCTCAGTTGCGAGTTCAGCGGGCACGATGACGGAAAGGATGAAGGAATCGGAAGTCAGGGTCGATCTTTGGGTTTAGCACACTCCATTACAGGAGCGCTGTCATACTCCGCCTGTTGGTTGCGTTGCATGCTCCCTCTGCCGACCCTGGCTTAGGAGTAGCGTGCCCATGCCCAAAGCCTGGGCATCGCTGTTGATTTCGGTAGTCCCGGCAAAGCAGCTGGGCAGTTTCCTCCACCCCTACACCGTGCAGTCCTTGGACGCCGAGCTCGAGACTTCAATACACTCAGACATTGCGAGGTCTGAAACCACAAAATACTACGACTTGCTGCGACCTGCGCAATCAGCATTGCTCCCGGAGCTTCTAAGACAAGCTTCCCATCAACATCACAAGCCCGATGCCTCGAAGGCATGTGGAGAAGGCACAGGCGACGGCGGAACAACCTGCGCTTCAACATGGCAACCGCTTGCATGAAGCGCATGAGCCAGGGTAGCCTACGGTGTGCAGGAATTGAACCTCGGCCTCTCTGTCTGCCCTCGACTTCAAGAAGACTTGAGGTACTTGTACCGACCCGAAATCAACACCCGGGCTCTTCAAAGGGAACTGCTCCGCCAGCTGGCCTGCGAAACCATCGACCGCGGCACGCGGGTCATTCCGACCTTCGTCTCCCGAACTCCCGTCTGCCCATGATGCATCTCAAGTGGCACATGGGCCGATAGGTGAAGCTATTGAACGTGAGAGAGTTTGGATGTGGACCCCCTGGCAAGATCTACCCCCCCCCCCCACCCCCCTTACAGGCTCAAACCTTTCCTTCGAGGGGCGTCCGAACCCTGAAGTCTGCGGCTGGAGCTCCGAGCTCCGAGGTTCAACCCCTTATTAGTTTTAGTCCTGGTGGCTCCTGGATCTTAGTTCATACGGGTTGATTGAAGGCTTTTGGTTGGAAGTTACGGCTGGCTGCAAGGTCCCCAGCTTCTAGTTGGCAGTGCCCCTTCGCCCAACTTCCAGACATGGCACCCGTTTGCCGATTCGCCAGCAAAAGAGTCACCACCTCCGAGAATCGGGGCGTCGCCAATGCACCCGATGCTGTTCAGCAAGGGCTGGCAAATCCGGTGGTTCAAACGTTCCAGATATGCTGCCGATCTCCAGAACCCGTAAAGACTTGAGGTGCTGGACGAGGCTGCATGCACTGTCCCCGATAACTTTGAGCACCTCGTGTGAAACAGTCTGGTCAGGAAACTCCCAACCAAAGCCTTTCAGCTGGGAACCTTCGAGGGCTGCCAGAAACTTTTTGGCATGGGCAGCAGTTGTCAGAGGCCCAGTGGTTAAATAGAGGCAGTTGACGGTGCCCAAGCAGATTTGCTCAGCCAATGTACACAAGTCCTCCCCGGAAAACAAGCTTGACAACGAGACGGTGCGGCACTTCGGCGGCCATTTAACGCGCGAGAGTGTGCCTGGGAGTGTCCCAGCTTCCTGAGCCTGAGGATCGTGAACGATTTCGATGATGCGGGCATAGCAGAGTGGAAACGCATCCAAGCATCTCTGCAGCGAGGACAGGCACTCTTCTGTTCCTGGGGCCACCTCTAGCAACAGAGTATCCAATGCCGGCAAGGACGATGAACAGTCGGCCAATCTTTCCAGCATCGATGTCGCTGGAGCATGCGGGGTGCTCTGAATGGCCATGTGCAGGCTTGTTAAGCTTTGGAAAGCGGGCAATGCCTTGATGACCTCCTGCGGATAGCTGTACATGCTGAGGTGCTCAAGCTTGGGACAATGGCGTTTCAGGTTCAGGAGCATGGTCACCCAAAGGCTTTGGTCGCCAAGGCCGTATTCAACGTCTATCGAAACAGCACGCAGCTTGTTGAAAGGGCCCAACAGCCATCCCAGGCACAAGCTGAAACGGTCCCGCTTCTCGACCGGATTTGCAAGCTCCCTGCCGTCGCAGATCTCTATCTCAACCACTTCTCCTTTGTCAATGGCTGGCAACGCACGGAGCATTTGGTCTGTAGTTCCAGGGCCGTCGAAATCATCACAGAAGACGATAATGTATGGCACGATAAGAAGACCGCTGGGAGAAACACACATGGAGCGAATCTGACGGCTGGCCAGGCTAGCTATAGCGATCGTGAAGGGGTGCAGCATCGCCAGCATCTCCTCCCACATCCACTTCCTGTCCAGGGCCATCTTTGCTCCGCCGAACAGTCCTGGGTAATCGGAACTCACAATTTCTTCGAGATTTATGCAAACTCCACGTGAGCCCTCAAATTTCTAGATGTTCGGCTTGCTTTCATCATGGTTTCTTCGAGCAGCCGTCAGGTTCTGAGGAATGTGCCCTCGGGAGCTTGCGGCCGTCCGGGGGTTCAGAAGCCAAGGTTGTGAGAGTTGCAATCGTTGGGTTTGGGCGACTGATCGTACGCAGAAACAGAGCCATCTCTGAATTCGTGGCTCGTCAATCTCCGATCTCCCCGAAACCTCGTAAACTCACATCTGAGGACCCAAAAGCAAAAGCTCTAAGCAGAAACCCGGAAACCTCCGAAGTGCTCAAAGCCGTACACGGTACCTTTAGGAAGAACAAAGCCCCAAACACCTCAGTTCATCCATCTGCAAAAGCAAACCGACCAACCCTCTTCCAGGAGCAAGGCGGCCGGCATCGCGGGTCCACCGTGGCCTGCGGTGCTCTCGGATCGTTCTCACATCTAGATCCAGCAAGATGAGGACAGACAGAAAGACAAGTGTGCGGAATATAACCCCCAAAACCCGAGACCCTAAACCCTGAGCCGTGTTAGATGTAAGTATAGGCGCTCATGTGGGGTCCCTGAGACATTATGGAGACCCGGCTTGTCAGTACATGCAGGCCTCGGGGGGAGGGGGGGGGGGNNAAACCCTTAAACCTTAAACCCTAAAACCTTATCTCTTCCATGCGGGCACATGGGCTAAAGAACTCAAATGAGGAATATCCGAAGCTTCAGCTGCGGCTCGCAGGCATGGGGCTCGAAACGCTGAACCCCGAGACCGCAGCTTGAACGCAACCCTAAACCTGATATCTTCAAGCCCCGAAACCCTTAAGGGAACCCCTGAAAGATACTCTTGAAGGAAGCCTTAGCCTTAAGGGTACCTTCAAAGGCCCTACAGTAGGCCAGGGAACCCTGAAAGAGCCTTATGAGGTACCTTAAAAGGCCCTACAGTAGGCCAGGGAACCCTGAAAGAGCCCTAAGGGTACCTTGAAAGGCCCTAGGCCCTAGGGTTTAGGGTTTAGGGTTTAGGGGTTAGATACTCCTAAAGGAAGCCTTCGCCTTAAGGGTCCCTTGAAAGGCCCTACAGTAGGCCCAAGGCCCTAGGCCCTAGGCCGCAACCTCGGCCCGTCGAGAAGGTGAGGGCCGGAGCTGTTTGCGTTGCCTTCCATCGGCCATCAGAGGTCCGGACATGGGGGGGTTTCCAAAAATAGGGGACCCTAATATAGGGGTTTAGGGTTTAGGGTTTAGGGTTTAGGGTTTAGGGTTCCAGAAATAGGGGACCCTAATATAGTACCCGAAATAATAGGATCCTTATTATAAGGACCCCAAAATAAGGTACCCTAATATAGTACCCTAAATAATAGGTTCCTTATTATAAGGTACCCTAATTTTCGGAAAGTCCCACATGTCTGTGTGCATGTCATGCGGATAGCATGCATGCAGCATGGATGCATGGATGAATGTATCATATGTACATGCGTAGGTGCATATAATATAGATGTAAATGTAGAAGTAGGTGTGTGCATCTGTATATGTTTATGCATGCGGCCTCTCATGTGTAGGTGTGTATACCTGCATACATCGATATAGACATATACAGGGCCAGTCGGACCAAACCCTCAAAAAACGCCCATGGGCCGGAAACCAAACAGCCTGGTGACGAACGGAGCGGCTCCTTTGGAGTGGCTGGGACATGGCCTGGGAGGCTCTGGCGGTTTCGGCTCGGGCCAGGAATCGTAGGGCTGTACGGCACTGTAGGGGAGGTTCGAAGCCGTTCAACATGGTCTTGGACTAGGTTTGGACGACGGTCCTGAACTGCAGCAAATTGCGTTTGACCTCCGGGAGACGCAGTCTTGCCATTTGGACATCGTCAACCCACGCCAGAGGATGCGGGACCTCGTCCATCTGGCAGTCTGGTTCCGGCAGACATGGTCAGTTCTGAGGCTCACTCCACTGAGGCTATTCGATATCGGAGGAGCTGATTTTCCTGACAAGCTCAGGGACCAAGATAAGACTCAAGACTCAAAAAAGTACAGCTAACAATCTCTCACGGGCAAAGATTTCAGCAGCGATCTGCCACACAGACCAGTGTGCTCAGGTAACGGGGCAGCACCAATGCCACGACCTGACCAAAGAGCCTCGGCCCTAGGGCACATCGCGAACGAACCATGAAACGAACCTCATGACACCCTGAAAAACACAGAAGAGGGTTTTTTATAAAAACCCTCTTCGGTTTTTTATAAAGCCCTCTTCACCCTGAAAAACACAAGTCCTCGCAACAAGCTGCATGCGTGACCGGCCTGGCGTAGTCGAGCGAGCTCCCGCCTTTCTTTGAGAAGGCTCCGTAGCTTTTGCAGGGGTCTCCCAGAGTGCATCGGGTCAAGAACGATTTGCATGGCATCTCTTCTCTCAGAATGTCAGATCAAGCTACCTGCTTCAGGGGCCACAAGAGAAAAACTTTGCCTTGGCCCTTCCGCGTCGATTCATTCTGCACTTACTTGCGCCTCTCCCCAATCTGATTTGCAGCTTGGCAGCTGGATGTAGCGCGGCACGATGCCTCAACTAGACAGCGATGCAACAATGCCCGGAGCAATCTGAAACTGGGTCAGCATCTTTTAGGTACATGCAACCATGTGCCTACGGCTCGAGCATTGCTTATTGGTTGGAGCTTTTGGGTGGGCCTCCATACATCTTCGACAGGGTGATGGCCGGCGCTGTCTGGGTGGCGCTGTCGCAGCACTGACCACCCTTCACCTGCCATCAAGTGTCAAAGCTTTCCTTCTGCCGGTGCTGACCATTGGAAGGCTCTTTTCTTGGATCTAGCTACGTACAGGACTGCAACAAGCACAAAGAATATCTCTGAGGGCAAAGATGGGTCAGAAGATTTCACGCAGGCAGCCGGTTTCTTCCTGTTTCTCGTTTGCTCAATGTTCTACTCTGTGAGTTATGAATATGTACACACGTGTTGTTTGCATGCGTGTACCTATTCACAGAGTCAAAGGTGCATCACTCTCTATACACACTGGGTTAACTGGCCTACATGTACGTCGCGTGCGACCCTTCGAAATTGTGTCATATATATATATATACATACATATACATATACATATGTGACACATACTTATTAGTACAGATACTGACGTAAACATATGCACACGCTTATGCATACATGTATGTTACAATGTCTGCACCTGCGCATGCATGCAGGTATGTGTATGTACATGCATGATTTCTGTATGCATCCATGGATGCATGGATGCATGGAT